TTGCAATGAGGCGGAATAGCGGCATCTGTAGGTTAAATATGTTAAGCCATCTATCATCTGCTGTAACTGCGTGGCAAGGCCAACATTTCTTTTTTTATCGGGAAAGAAGCTAAATCCGACAACCGGATAGCATGCCTGTCGTCATCGTGGGAACTACAGTGCCACGCCCCTCACCACCTTGACTGACTAATTTTCTGCGGGAAACACTGTATTTGAATGATGTAGATCAATCCTGTGTTATTTCTCCTCACTGAGTTCACACAATACAAATCTATGAAATCAACACGTATTGAACTTGTGTTACTTTGATATTGATGGAAATGAAAAGCTGATCATTGTTGTATATTATTATATATTATATGAAGATACATCTCCAGATGTTTCCTCAGAGTCAACTGGACGTACTTTAGTTAGTTTAGGACAAAACAAGTGATCAAGTGTTTACATGAGAATTTCACACACGCTCAGGTGYGGTTAGCTTGTGATGCTAGCTYAGCTWAGCATTGACGTGAGGAACTAATGAGACGAGTTTTCCTCTAAAACACAAGTGAACAACGACAAATGTGCAGCGACACGTCGAACACACAGAAGATCGAATAACTGGGTTGATATTTCAAACAGTATTTACATCATGAAGATCTATGGGCTCATCCACGCAGTTCCGGATCCGTGCGGAAGTACCGACTGGCAAACAGGAAGAGGAGGAGTCCAATGGGATATATGGAGAAGGGGAACTTGGAATATACCAAGTTAGACAGACTCGCGGGGGTGCAGTTCGTATATGTTTTTATAAGTAACTATATTTTTAAAGTTTGAATGAGTGATTTGTCAGTTTGAAGATGTTTTTATAAATACAATTAAAACCACACTAGTCGTTTCAGTACAGTCCTCGGCCTTTAAATATAAAATCTTAAGGATGATGCAAACTCATATATATTAAAAGTCTGTACAAATAATTAAGAACCATCTTCTTTCCTGTTGTTATTTTTCTTTTTCTTAATGTGTCCATCGTCCATCTCAGACACATATAACTATGTACTATATATATATATATATATAAGTATATATCTTGATAAATTCCTGGAATGTTGGTGTATGGCAGCGACTAAAATACCAAACACCTGCACTGTGTCATCATTGAATGCTGCAGGTTACATCATGGCCCCAATTGCTGAGATGGTCAATCACCACTTCTCTCTGCACTTTCTATCAGCGGAAATTAAACAGAGTGAGCAGGGATTGTTCGTCAGGCAGGGGAATGCCTCCTTGTTGCTTTGCCAGGTGCTTGATTTTGCTCTTTGCAGGATAATGAGTGCAAATGAACATTTAGGCTCAGTTCCCTCTGTGTAAAAGGAAAGTGTGCAGCGGCCATGCTTACTGCTGCTGCCTCAGAGGAAATACACAGAACTAGTTCAGTGGATGAATGACAGCCAGCAGTGAGGTGGCACCCTGGAGATGGTGCAGAATCCTGAAGACCCCTGTTCAGCTGAATATCTCTTTATCTCACACCCCTATATTGCCATTTATTTAAAACTCTTCACCACCTTTTCTCCAAAACTCTGCAACTTCACCAGAACGTCCAACCTCAGAAGATGACGTCAAGACTCTTAGCCGCGTGTCTGCATCTTGTAGCTGCATGCAATGCACAACCGCTGACTGCACACACATAAGCTCCTCACACGCTCTGCTCGCTGCGTGAACACAGCTGGAGCCAGAGCATCTGGCCCTGCAACGTCTCTGTGAATGTTTCCAGCCAATTATAGCCGGAATCACAAGGGGTTGCACGGGGAGCTATGAAAGATGACTTTGTTGCGATTGAGCTGAAGTAAAATTAAAAGCCTATCATGGGAAACGGAGCCAAACACCATCCTGAAGGTGTCTCTTGTTATCTAAAGGTCAAGAGCCCCAGCACTAAAAGAACACACTTTGTGCCTCAGACGTCAGCTCCGACCCTAAAAATATATTCATTTGATATCAGAATTATTAGTGGTTTAACCTCACACTCCAATAAAGTTCATGAGTCATGAATTAAAGTTAAAAGACTGTTATTATGCCACACATTCTTCTCCCAGGCACCTTCATTAACCACAATGCAAACTAACCACTGAAAGTTCAGCTGGACATACAGGTACGTGATACCCGTGGCGACTGTAGCCTCAAGTGGAAATGAAGAGAATGCTACACACAAACTTGTCTTCAGACCCACCCGCCCCTGATTCAAGTGAAATCACTGGAGGGCATTTATCAGACGTCACTCAGCTCCCTCTGGAGACACTGAGCGCTTTATGCAACTGTTTGTCATATGCAGCAGTGCTTGTAAACAAACACTTTGATGTGTACAGTCGCTGGAGTTCCCCTTTAAAAAGGAGTGAATGCCGACATTGAAAGTGCCACATGATTTTCATCATGTCCTTTCAAACCATAATATAATGGGATCTAAGATAAAGCCAGGGAAGGATTACATAAACAAAGCCACAGATCACCAGTTCCTCTGTCTTCACAGTTAGAGGGTAAATATCAGCCTTATACTCTATATTCCACCTCTGCTGTTTCACTGGTGGCCCTGGATGTTAATCAGCAGTCTAAGTAGTGAGTGGAGTCCAGCATTTCCACTTGAGCGGCTGCCACTCTGCCACAACAAAACAATATTAAAACTCCACCAGCCTGTGCAGTTTCAGTCTCAGAACATTTCCCCCGGACTCAGGGGACAGTGATATTTAACCTTTGAACACAAATCAGTTCACCTTTGAGTGTGAACTGATTTGTCAAGATTTGAAGAAATTCCCTGAAGACGGACTTAGACAACTTACAGTGATTTATTTGCAACGTTTTGGTGTTTTTGGTGTGTCATCACGCACCAGCACTGAAACGTCACAAATCACAGCACCAGTCGCAGTCACCAAGTTCACCTTGACCTTTGACAACCAAAATCTAACCATGTCATACCACACTAAAAGGATTCCCTGGAGGCGTTCTTAAGATATTCTGTTCAATATGCTAAAAAGGGTTTTGACCTTTGACATTCAACCTGCAAATTCGAATCAGTTCATATGTGAGTCCAAGTGAACATTGGCAGCGAATTTGAAGAGATTCCCTTTAAACATTCTTGTGATGTGATGTTTAAAAGAATGGGACGAACAGACGATCCGAAAACCTTATACCTTTGGCCACTGGGTGTCGCCAGCACGGAGGCATAAAAGTCTCCTAATGACCAACATTGACCACCATCCACATCCTACCTGTTCAGATGCTGCTGCAGCAGGTCCAGCCGCTGCTCCACCTCTCCGTAGGTGAGGTCTGTATCACTGTCGTCCTCCCCAGCCGGGGTCTCGTGACACTGGGCGGGCTCCTCTGCATTCTCTCTGGGACGCTGACGCACCCACTCCTCTGCATCTGGTGGGAGAGATGTGAACGCAAACGTAAACACACACAGGGAAGTGTTCTGTGTTATTAGAGCGTTGCCTCAAGGGGACGCTGCATTGTGTCATCTCATCATTTAACTTCCCTGAGCTCTGATCACCTCCTCAATCCTCACATCACAGAGGAAAACACACATCTGACCCCCGGTGACCGTCGCACCCTGGCAGAAATCCTCTTATGGCTGCAGCAGCTAAATTATGGGATATCACTAACAAATCTACATGCTGACACACTGTCCCCACATAGAATCACTCTGAGTTTAAATGGAAATCCTGTTCCTTCCTTCTTCACTCTGGATGGTTTATGAGGATTTACAGTCATATGGGATCAAGCTGTAAACACAAAGCGGTGTGTTTGCTCAATGTGCACACGGTGGAAGCTGGATGGGAGAGTGATGCAGCTCTTTGTGTGGAAGCTGCTCAGTGGAGTCGCTGGGATCTGCGGGAGGATTTCATAACTCTGATTTCATAACTTGCTCTCTGTGAATGGTTAAAGGACAATTAAACCTCTTCACTCAGATTTCCTAAAAAGATTTCATGTGACCTCACTCACCAGATCACAACACACCACAACATGATTTACCTAATGCTTCCTGTAAATCCTTTATTTGGTCGTGACCTACAATCAAAAGCGTGGTGACCCCCGAGCTGGTTGCTGGATATAATCCTCTTACCTTTTATTACTGAGTGGGTTTTAGGTTTCACCCTAATGACACATAATCCTTGTTTGGATTTTTAATAGGTGTGACATTCCTCCTCTGGTGCTTAGGAGTGTTTTCTAAATGAAATTCTGAGCCAATTACCGTTTTGGTACAAATTTAGAGGACAAGCAGAATTTATGTGTGTTTAAAAACCAATAATAGAAATATCATTTTTCGCTTTCAGATATCGATTCTGGTACCTGGTTACACATGATCGAGGAGCTGATCGAGGACCGAGTGCAGATCCCACCAGTGCATTTAAAAATACTAAATACTAAAAATGCCAATACTGCTGTTGTTATTAGAATAAAATCATTTATAATTGAAATTAAAACAGTCTGAGCTGTCTTATTTTCTTTCTTCTATTGAATCCGTTGTCAATTTGAAAGAAAAATATGTTCAGGAAAATATCTATTTGAATGACGAGGATGAAATGAAAGGCCTTTCAAGCAGATTATTTTTTAAAAGACAAAAATAAATCCCTCACTATTAAACACAAAACACTGAATGAAGACTGATGCAGAAACCAATAAGGTGGATGTTTCCATCAGCACCTTTATAGGCCTGGTCCTGTGTGTTGTCTCCAGCAGGTGCATCCGGAGCGTTGCTCAGCCCGAAGCCCAGGGAGTGGTCCCTGACTACAGGGTAGCCCAGAACACCAGAACACAACGGCCTCTGCTCCTCTTCCTCCTCTCTGCCTTCCTCTTCCTCCTCCTCCTCCTCCTCCTGGTCCTCAGCCTCCTCAGTAGACTCCCTCTTCTCCTTGGCTGGTGAGGAGGCGTAGATCTGCCTCCCCTGCTTGGCGTCACAGTAGGTGGCCACCGGCTCCTTGTTGTGGGAGCCTACAGGGAGAAACGGTAATCAGGAAATCTGCTGAGGGAACACCGGCTTCTGCACCACCTTCCTCTGGGGAGGCCCGGGTTGTCTCATTATCTGTGACAACACGTAGCGAGTGTTTTGCCTCGGGGGTGAGGCGAGGACAAACATGTTATGTCACTGACGGTCACTTTAAATCATCGACAATAAATGAATAATGTTGCTCATCAGGTTGAATTCTAAGTCTCACACCTGCTTCGCACGTTCTTCTGCCTCACTAGTGTTATATTGGGAAATGGCGTTACTGTATTTAGATTGCCTGTAACCATGGTGACCAATTAGATCTGCCTGAGCTGCAGCCAAAATGCTGAGTGCTGCAGTGTGGCGGAGGCTCGGGCTCCACGTCCCGGCTCTCCTGGCTGTTCGAAGTCAAACACAAAGCGTACTGTCATCCGAGGGCTGAGGGCAAGGACGCTGCTGTGTTTATCTGTGGTGCAACTGATCTGAGGAGAGAGATATTTATAACTCCATCACACTGCTCCATTGTGTGTTGGAATATCAGGGTTTATTGCGAAGAGTCCGTCTTGAATGAGCCTAAAAATCTTCACTAGAATTAAGCTTTTTTATAAGATGTTGAGACAACAAGTCCCCTTATGAGACCCCACCTCAATTTCACTAGATCTGGATTTTTATCTGGATCTGCACCTAATTGCACAGGAAATATCAGTCTCCATATCACATCCTTCCAGCAAGTTTTGAAGGAATCCGTCGAGCAGTTTTTGAGTAATCTAGCTTAAAAATAAAAAACAAACAGTTGACTGTATTTTTATCCTGAAATGCAAATACTAATTCCATTACCACCTTACAGTATAAATAACTGTCAGAAGAACATATTCACGTTTAATGCCTGTCTCCAATTAACATGAAGTCATGACCCGACGTCTGTGCACAGATATTAATTGGAATTACTTTTCATTAATTTCTAATAAAGCATTAAAGGGACCAAGATCTTACATGACACATGAGTGTAGGATTTTAATTGCAAAGTAGTTTCTGACCTGTGGACGACTTCCTTTTGTAGGACACTCGTCTTCCACACTTGACTTCATCCACGTTGGAATCAGCTGCTTGTGGGTGCGTTGTCTGAAAAAGATGGTTTCTGTTATTTTATGTAGTTCTTATCACACTTATGTATGTAAGTAATTTCCAGTTGATTTGGTTTTAAATTAGAGTGTACATTTCTGGGAGGAAGTGGAGATGCATTGTCAATTTTTATCATCAGACTTAACCTTTGCAGATCGTTGACTAAATCTTGGAAAAATAAATAAGTAGTGGCTGCTTGCATGAAGAAAGCATTTAACTACAGATTATAAACGGCTCCCTCTCTTGTTTGTTGCATCATGTATCTCCTGTTTTTTGATGTAATCCTACTCGAATCCTTGTCTCCCTCTCTTCTTTCCAGTTCTCTGAATAAATAACAAAAGGCCAAGTTCCCATCATGCTCTCCTTTAAAATATAAATAAAACAACTGTCACAGGCCTTGCACATGTTTCTACTGCACTCAATTCATCAGAATTACAGCCGGTATCATCCCCGTCTGTAACGTCCACTGTCACTGCTCGACTCCAGCTTTCATTCGAAATGTCCAAATTAGCCCTCAAAATTATTCCTACAACCACAGATACACTGAGGAGAATAAATAACAAAGCTACTGCTCCGACTTAAATGGACGTGGCAGAGATGGTGCATGGAACAGACTGTTTAATTCAAGTTAATGGTCTCCACTAAGATTTTTACTGTACTGCAGTAAAGCAGAAGTACTGCATAAAAGCCTTCAATCCATTTCACTGCCTCCTTCACTGCAGTAATCAGAGACAGGAATCTGTGCCGGCACCTGTGCAATGTGATTACCTTGGTGGTTTCGTCTCGGAGGTCAAAGGTCAGCTCCAGGTTTGTGAGGAAGTGGTCGGCGAACTCCGGGTACATGTCCAGCACCTCGAGAATCTCCTCCCTCTGGATGGTGTGGAGGTCGCAGTAGCTCAGTGCCCGCACATCGGCGCAGGACTTCCCCGGCTTGGCGAACAGGTGGATCATCTCGCCGAAGATGTCGTTCTTACCTGCAGAGGGCGCAGAGGTTCAGTGAGGCTGCAGAGCGTTACAGTCACAGTTTGTGGGGAATCTGCCTGAAAACAGCTATTTTATTTAATAAATGTAAGGAACCATATTAATAATTGTAATTATTATTATTTCAATTTTGTTATTCATATATATATAAATTAACATTTTAAATCTGTGCAATTATAATTACACTTTGCAATATAATGCATTATATGTAAATGTGCAACAAGTATCGAGTATTTTATTTGCTGGTAAAACAGAACATTTATCATGTTCTTGGTAACTGTGTATTTCCACCTACTTAACATTTTCATGGGCTCCTATGAGTCCCAGCATGCACTTGTCATGCACAGTGCAATGTAATGTAATACATGTTCATGCAGCGCATATAAACGAGAGAGCGCGGAAATGGTGCCATCAGCATCTTCTCCTGCTGTAGCTGGAGAAAATGCTGCTGAGTCGTAACTGTGCGTGACCTACAACTTCACCCTCTTGCTCATCGTGACCCTATTGTGTCACCGCTCTTCATCCGAGGTTAATTGGCTGCACAGAAAACAGTCGTTAAAATGAAAAAACAAAAGCCTTGGTGGGATTCACCAGGATGGAGAGGAGCCATGCAGGAACAACCACCCAAAACTCTCCAATCCCTTAATCTGCCTCTTTTCTTTCTTATATTTCTACCCCACCCACTCGCTCAGCTCCCCTCCTCCCCTCTGCCTCTATTGTCATCTATCTATTTGAAAGCAATCATGTTCTCCTTTTTTCTCATCGACATGTATCCTGTGTTACTCTCGACCCACCATGTGTCCTCCCCCACGCTTCCCCGTCCTCCGCCTTCATCTCTGGCACGACTGCGAGGCAGCAATCACACCGTTCTTTGAAGTAAGTTATTACAACGTACCCAACAGGGATCTCAGCTGCCAACCCAGACATATCACAGCAGCACAGAGGCGTCCTTATTTCAGTGGCCCGCCCCCGTCTAGGTGAGCTCAGGCTGGGATGACAGGAGTATCTGTGGTGGCTTTTGAAGTGTGTGTGTTTTTGTACCTGGCTCATCAATGGGCTAATTTGAGATATTGAGATGTTTTGTGTACAAGAAGTTTTTCTACATGGAGTGTGGATGGCATTCTTTGCTTCCTCAGGCCTGGTATCCAACAGCCTTTTAAAAACATCTATGTTCAGTATGTTAACCAGGAGATTTTCAGACTTGGCATGTTATTTTATTGTTCAAGAGATATTTCAATTATTGCAGGAGTAGACCTAGAGCTGGAAGGACAAGCGTGGATGTGACTGTGGAGGTGTAGAGTAGACCCACCCAGGATGGCCACCACCACGTCATCTTTGAGGATTTCGATGGAGCCGCGCGAGACAAAGTAAAGCGCCGTGAGAACGTCTCCGCAGTGGACCAAGGTGTCTCCGGGGGGCGCGTGGGTGGTCTTGAAACGCATGGCCAGCGCCCGGAGGCAGCCCTTGGTGGCCCCGCGGAACGCCTTACAGCCCTGGAGGAGGTTTGTGTTGAGGTGGAGGCATATATCCGCCTGCAGGCACTCGGGAAAACCCTTCAGGACCTGAGTGTGGAAGGCACAGGGTTACAGTGTGATTACATATAGAAGTGTTTTGTTTTATTTTTCTCTTTTACAAGCTGTCAGAGATGATGTGCTTTTTAAATGTTCAGTTTGGGGTCAGGTCAAATTGAGCAGATTTCCAGAGAGATTTGGTACAATTGCCACTTGTGTTCTTTCCTTCTTCTCAAAACCTTTAACCTGCCGCAGTAAAAAAAAAAAAAGCCTGCAACGCCCTTCAACACAGATCTACACTTTAATGTTTTCACTGAGCGTTTCAGCTGCTTTAGAGGATAGACAAGACACAACACAGGGACCGAGAAGCTGCAGGTAAATTATTGTTATAGCTGTGATTTTACTGCCTTTATAGAAAGAACCATTACCTGGAATGTGCATGAGCAAAAAGTAGAAATAATAACTAATCATGCAACATTCCTCAATATTATGTGAATATATATTAAAACATGACCCAACCGTGATTGGTCGAGCATTCCTACCCATCCCAGTTGACCTGGGGGTATGTTCAAAGTTTAATAAAAATATAAAATAAATATAATTTAACATTTTGTGCATCAAAGTCCAACTTGTAATCCACTTACCCTTGCAAAGACAAAGATAGAGACCAGTGACAGAACTTGAACGGACTGTAAAGGAACACTTAACTTTAACACGACACACACACAGGGGCATCAAGGACACACGGGGGACAAGAGGAAACTTGTTTCATCTTTTGTCATTTACACATAGAATACAATGTGCTACTGACAAGAGAGGAAATCCAGACCGATCTGGTTTTTCTGGCTCTGACAGGCTTTTTTTTCGTTGTTGCTCGGAACAAAAGCCGATCAGTAGATTTGGAAAGGAAAGACTGAACAACATTTGGCAAGTGCAGGTGCCGCCGCGGAGCGTGCAGCCAAGCCTCCCACGCCAGGAGGGAAACCTGGCAGCACCCGTCGCGGCTGTGCCCACTCTCACAGGCATGATACACTCTGTCTCTGGTAGCAGATGAGCATCATGGGGTTATATTTGAATACACAGATTTCATGCAAAAGACAGGGACCTGGAGGCAGGCATGCAAGTCTACCACTGATAGACTATTACAGGACCTGCAGGAAACATTAAGCATTAATGTGCCTTGGCATGCAAGTTAATCTGGTAACCCATTTATGATGCAGCTGGTTACAGTGTGGTTGGGTTTGTGTATGTTCAGTAAGTTGAGTAACAGATAAAACAGTGCAGCACCTTTAATAACATGCATGTTTGGGACGATAATGAAACAAAGACCTCAACATTACATATGTGTTGTCTTCTGTGTGTTAAAGCTAAAAACTATGAGTGTCAGGCACAGCTAAGCTCTATCACTGAGCAACATATGGACATTAGTTGTGTTAACACATGTACCTCCTGCTCTTACCAGAGTGGTGGGGTCATTCCATTTGACATGAGGCAGACATGGAAAAGACAAATTTATATAAGAACAGCATCATGATGAGAAACGCTGCAGTTACCGTGTGAATAACCAGTAGCTGCAGCTTTTATTTAACCTGCGGCTGTGAGTGAGCATTACACAGTATCATCCTGATGAAATGACTTTACATCGATGTGGTAAGAATATTTTCAGGGACAAGATATTTACTAAAATATGAGTTTGTAAAGGGGCAACAGAGCTTATCACATTTCGAGAGAATCTCACTCCTGGACTAAATCAAACACACACACTTCTCTCGTACCATATTCATGTCGATGCCGTTGGTGTACGTCCAGGCGTGTTGGAAGTACTCCTCCAGCCGCTGCCGGAGCGGGTTCGGGATCTGATGGAATCGGATGAACTCTTTGACCCGCAGCATCTGTAGGTGATACCTGGCTGTGCCCGAGTACAACCGCTGGATGATGGCAGACACGTTCCCAAAGATGCTGGCGTACATTAGAGCTGGGAGAGAAGCCATAGAGGTGGAGCGTTGAGCCGTGGAGGCTGAGGCTGCTCATATAAAATGCCTACATCTTCTTCTGTTTATTCCAAATAAAGCATTTGCTTCCTGATGCAGAGTAAAACTTAAATTCACTGTGTATTAAAGAAATCTGCAGGCTCAACTGTGAGCTTGAGGTAATCTAATATATTCAAATGAAATGCATGTAATGTCCAATTTGTTCAAACTTGATTTTTGGAAAAAGTGACAGCCCTATTGTGCTTGATACCTCTCCCTCCCCTTTTAAAAAAATCTCCACCCACACGACTCTTTTATAAAACTTCTCCGTCCAGACGAGAACACAAAACGACTACAAACACACCTGGCCACTAGGCGGCGATAATAGATACAAAATTCTCCAGTCAACTGGTATTTAGCCGATGTAATTGTTTTGTTTATCGCACATGCTCATGACACAAAGCTACAGTGGGCATGCACAAGGTAAAATGTGATGAGGACAAAGTTTGTTTTGCAAAATATCCACATTTGTGTGGACAGGGTGATCACAAATGTCTCTAGATGTGATAACCGTACATTGAGTAGAAATAAATATGTAAATGTTTCCTTTAGAAGAATTAGCTATCGAATAATCTCTTGTATCAAAGTGCTTATCTTTAAAAAATGCTCCATAAAGGTTTAGATTCTCCATGAAATACAGTGTGTGTGCTGCAGCCAATGAGTTTCAACGATAACAGGATCCTAATACTGTCTGCGTGTACTGTGACTCAGCTGCCACTCACATCCAATGAGCATGACGCAGATGGAGAAGATCTTCTCAGAGTTGGTGTTGGGGGAGACGTTCCCAAAGCCCACACTGGTCAGACTGCTGAAGGTGAAATAGAGCGCCGTGACGTACTTATCTTTGATGGAGGGGCCTGAGCTGGGGTCACTGTAGTTGTACTTTTTTCCTGCAAGGAATAACAAAAATACAATATGTTAAACATATTACAAAATGTGTGTATCATGTGTTTGGACTCAAAAGATAAATATGGTCACCTATCGACACCCCCAGGTTGTCCAGCCATCCGATCTTGTGCTCCAGGTAAGGCTTCTCCACGTTGCCGATGGCGTACCAGATACAGGCCAGCCAGTGGGCGATGAGGGCGAAGATGCACATGAGCAGCATTAGGACGGCGGCGCCATACTCTGAGTAGCGGTCCAACTTGCGGGCGACCCGCACCAGCCGCAAGAGACGGGCTGTCTTCAGCAGACCAATCAGAGTGGTGGTCTAACAAACAGAGGAAAAATCTGAATCAGGACTTTTGTTCTCAGAATCAAGATCATGAAAATGTTTAAAAAGGTGATATTATATTTTTCGATCTATTTATTTGTTTCTTTTGTGAAATATTTGATATGGTGCATACTTGCTTTGATTGTTCATAATTTAAATGAAACTATGGCCTTGATTTTTTATGTAAAACCTTAATGTATTAAGTCACAAATTACTATATATCTGAAGTGTAGTGGAAATACTCAAGTATCTAAAAAAACACACTTATTTAAAGTATTAACATCTCTCATCATTTGTTAAAAATCAAATCTTTGCAGTAAATTCAAAATCAGAAATCAGACTAGGAGGGAATTTGGTACAAAGTGAACAAGTTGTCGGTCACATTTCAGTGTCGTGGGTCGGGGTCATGAGGACAATCAGCTCAGGATTAGAGGTTCAGAAACATATGCATCTTATCTTATTCCCACACCACATGTGGCAGACGCACAGACGAGACAGAGGATCATTCCCGATGGTGTAAACACATGTTTCAAGGATGTCACTGTCAACACAACTCTGAAACTCATGGAAATCAGGCTTTAAGAGAAGGTGGAATACAGAGTTTGGGTGATGATGAGGCACTTTTGACTTTTTTGCAGCCCCTCAGCATGCAGATACAATCAGGCCTGCATGCACACATCACAGTGCACACACATCACCTTCTTTAATCCCCATCTCCATTTTTGAGTCGGACTAAATTAAAACACAGGCTTTGCGACTAGGGAGGAGGGTCAGCATGCAGCCACGACTTAAGTCCCCATATATTAGTGTCGTGCAATCTCTAAACACAATAAGTGAGACTTCAGCAACGCTAATATGTCGTACCGCTCCCTGTCGTGCCTGACAATTATCCTAATATCCTCAGGGAAATCATAAGCCGCAGCCACTTACTGTAGTTCAGCCTCCTCACATCTACACTTATTTACGCCTCTCGTACAGGTGAGAGGAAACACCACGTGGATTATTCAAAGCAGAAACTGGAAGGAGGCTGGTGGATGTTTTTGAAGGGAGAGGATTCATGAGGGAAGTGAGAAAGACGGGTCCATTAAATCCCCTGAATCACTGCCATCACTCACCACCATGCAAAAACAGGGAATAAATCATACGAAGAAAGAGATGAGCCCTAAACGATCTCCTAATGTCCACCGCCATGCTGGATGCAGCCCACAAAGTGTAGTGTTGATTAGAATCTGGTCTCACAGTAAGTCGGAGGCGTTTTTGAGCCGAGGAGTGATTCTAAATCTCCCATCAGCAACCAGCTGTATTAAACACATCCGCTGAATATCCCTCAGGCCATCTGGCGCTGAAGCCGTCCACGCTCCTAAGGCCATTTTAAAACGCAAAGCTTTTGTTGTAAACTTCTGACTCTGTGTCAAATATTCAAGCTGTTGACATTGATGTTTTCTCACTTGAAAGTCTAGAACAAGTTTTATGACGATTGTCTCACAAACTTTCCTTCCTGTCGTCATCACCTATGTGGGCTGAGTCTACCTCGACTAGACGTCGACTGCGTCTGACATCAGCGTGTTGTAAACTCATCCGTCTGTTTGAATGGTGCATTTCTGTACAGTTTGCTTTGACCCAAGTAATTATAACACACAAAGGAAGTTGTACATGTGCATGGGGGGGGGATCTGAATGGAATAAATTTGGTTTAATTTTCATTAAAAGACACATACATCTGCCATAAAAGCCTTTTTGTGCTGTAGTGAGCACGAAAACTCAATTTGAATTTAAATGAGATTCAATTTTAATAATAATCATCCGGATTTGCTGACCATGCTTATGTTATTTATTCCTGAGTAATACTTGATTGTTGCATTTGTTAACAAGCACAAATTCACTCTGGCCTGATCAGGATAGATGGGAAGTAATATTTGAATTCTGGTTTAGAAGTAAAAGCCTTCATGATTTGCAATTACCTCCCATTTGACCACTATGCAATTGAAAGGGTGGAAGTAAAAGGCAAACAACCTCAACTGGACACTGATATGAAAATGAGGAGCTCAAATGGCCTCCGCAGGCAAATTCAGCCACGCACCATTTGTCTAGATTTGCCAGCTTAACTCTGACTGAGACTCAAAAAAAGAATATCTCCAGGGAGATTTTAAACCTGTTGTTTCGAGTGAAATCAGCAATAATAAGAAAAAATGTGAACAAAGTCGAAGACGGTTTCCAGGCAACAAAGGTTCCTGAGATTACGTCTAAAAATAGGATTAAAATAACACACCTGAAAGACAAGAGCTAAAACTGTACATGGATGTGTTATTTTCAGTTTCTTCTGGAGAACGGAAGGAACTAAAAATACATTTATTTGTCAATGTGAGCTGTGACGGGAGGACACTTTCTGTCAGCGCACCAGTCGTCAGGCTGCGTGAAGAGGACATACATGGTGCCGCTGTGTCGCTCAGCTGTCGGCTCCCTTCTCTCCAGCTGCCAGTCAGAGCCAGCCTGCAGCCATGGACTCCCTCAAAGAAACACACCTCATGCTAAACACTGACTCAGCAAGGCAACACACTGACAACAGGGCTTTGTGTGTGTGTGTGTATATCACATATCCTCCCTTCACACATTTTACATTTTAGCAGATGTGTGATTCTCCTCATCATGTTTTGTTTCTGTCTTAGTGTAAAAATAAAGAATAGGCAAATACAAAGGAGAATTAGGGCCATGTTGAAGAGAACTGAAATTTGGAGAACACAAGTTGGGATATTTTGAAAATAAAACCATAACTGAGAAGAAAGTTGTATTATTATGAGAATATTATGCACAGTTTCTCATATTTTATTCTCATTTTTTTTTTTTGAATTCTTGTAAAATGACGACTTTATTCTCAGTACATACAACACATATACAACTGCTAATATTATTAAAATAAAGTCAGAATATTACAGGTTTAACCCTCATAATCTTACGACTTTATTCTCAGATTTTTCTTCTCAGTCACTGACTGTACAGTAGATGTTCAGTATCTCAGTAAAAGCTCATGTTCAGATTGATGTCCTCTGCCGACTGCACTCTCCGAACTGCTCTCTCTGAGCATTAGATAACTTGCTCAGTTGTACGTGAACAAAATAGTTTCTCGCAGCCAGATTGGTGAGGGAGGCAGAGACCTTTCTAACTGATTGTGATCGCCCGAGGCCTTCCAGTCTGGAGCGGGAGGAGGGAAGCAGATGTGACAGCCGAGCGTCAGATTGGTTTAGTTTTGTAAACATTCAAAGAAATATGACCGCCGGAGTTATGGCTGTCATGACACATGAGAAACCCAGGAGGGACAGATTGACTCCAGCTCTGGCATGTAACAACAACAAGGAGCAATGTGATAGAGACGTTTGTGTGTATGAAAAGTAGAATCAGGTGCATGAAATTGTCCCATCGTGAGAAATGTCTGGAGCAACTGACAGATTGATAAACTGACTGTTCTGCCACTCACCTCATCCGATCCTGAGCCGAAGATGAGCAGGTCAAATGGGATGGCGGCCACCATGTCTATGAGGAACCAGCCCTTAAAGTAGTGGATGGCGATCTTGGCCGGGTGGCTCACCACCTCCTCGTTGATGTTGACGTAAGTGGTCCTGAAGTTGATGAGGATGTCCACAATAAACATGATGTCCACAATCAGGTCCACCACGTTTAGCGGCGAGCAGGAGTAGCCACACTCCCGCCTCCTCTGCTCCTCGATGTCATTGAGGAGGAAGGCGGCAGAGTAGGGTGTGAAAATGGCAGTGTAGATGACGAGCAGCAGGATGAGCCAGTCCCACACGGCTTTGAAGGGGCTGTAGTGGAGGATGGTCCACTTGTCGATACGCGGCGTCTGGAGTTTGTACTCGGGGAGAACGTCTGCGCCCAGAGACAGAACCTGAGGAGGAGGACGGAGAATTTACCAAAGCAGAAGATCAGAAAAAATAAAACACTATCTTTGAGAGAATAGAGTCATTCAACTCAAGTGTAAAGAAATATATATATATATTCATTGTGTCTCTCCTTCAGGGATATGAATGTAAAATAGAGTCTATGCTGCCTGAACCAATGAGACATTGTTTGCTTAAAATGTCTGAAAACATATATTTGCAGAAATAATTGATCAGGATTACAGATGATGTCACATATAAAAATACTCAATACACATACTCTAATGACACTGAATCTTATGTACAACAACTTTATCAAGGAGTCTTTTCAACTGCCTGAGAAAAATGGTTGAGTTTCAACCATTTCATGGCTCCAGCTCATCAGGAACAGACACTCAATCCAAGACGCTATCAATTTGCATTTTCGGAAATGTAAGATCCAGTGTTTTTTGGGGTCTAAAACTCAGATATATTATTTCCAGTTGCATCGTTTCTTTCTCCCTCAACTCTGTGGAGGTAAAATACTAAAATCACTGCTAAATTATAAATTCAGTAAAATGTAAATACAGTCCAATATACACCTGTATGTATTAGAACAATGAGTAGATGAATCTGACTGTATGAGATGAACTACAACTGTACATGCTGTACAAACTCTACAGTCCTAATGCATGTGCACTGAATCTATTCAGGAGAAAAACCCTAAGATAACAGTTACAGCTGAATGAGATCAGTTTGGAAAATATATCTGGGATCTTGCAGAAAACTGAAAACTAAATTTCGGGTTAAAAAGAAATATACATGAATTGTTCACAAGAAATGTTTTGCGTTGAGTATGGGATATGAGTATAACCCCTGGAAGTCACTATCAGTACCTCTGTTTTTGCAGTTATCATATATACCCACATGGCTTTTAACATCAATATTATAGCAGTGTCATGGGCCATTTGGCATAACAGCCTCAATGACTCGGAAGTAATTACAGGTGTCATCTGTGTCTGACACTTCAATAAGCAGCACCTCTCCTCTCACTGCTGATTATTGTATCTGCGAGGTAAAGAACATGAGCTTCAGGGGCAAAGAGACAATTACCCTGCGACAGTGAGGAGCGAGGAGACGTGACAATGAGGAAGGACCTGAAATGGCTCTGTTTTGGCATCCGTCGTTTATCGCACGTCCCCGTTATCTGTGGCCTGGTCGCCATTACACCGGAGAGGGGAGGACCGAGGGTACAGAGGGACGATCCAATGCACCAGATAACAGCTCAAGTGTTAATAATTGGATTGGTTATTAGAAACCCTTTGTGTGGAGCTGAGGGTCAAACACTTTTACTGCTGATATGGGATAACCTTTGAAATCAATCAGAAACCAACAGTACAGACAAAGGCAACTTGTTCTATTATTCATCGGGCTGCCACTTTATCAAGAGCCGGCGATTTCAATGCTCGTTTCATTACAGTCACAAGTCAAAGTGGAATTGCTATTGACTTTCAAACAACAGTTTTTGAGGACAGAGGAACAAAAGGAAATTACACCACATATACATTTATCTCAATGTGTTCAAGTTGAATGTCTTCACCGACCAGTGCAGTTTCAGTGCCTTTATTTTTTATTATTATTATTTTATTTAAATTTCTTGGACTTTTGACCTTTGACCCCCAAATTATTCTCAGTTCATCCTTGAGTCCAGGTTAGCATTTGAAGAAATTCCCTAAAGGTAATAAGATGTTACTATAAAATGCAGCGTTATTAGTTTATGAGGAACAGTGATGATACAAACAAGACGGGAATCCTGTACCACACCAGCAGCTTTGAGCATTGATGCGTTACAGCTCGGGAGCCCGGGAGGAGTCGGCTGACGGCAGAATGACAGTCTGTTTCTGAATAAAAGATTCCATCTTAATTATTTAACATACCTACTGTAGCTAAGTGCACTTGGTGCAAATGAACTCCCTGGTGAGATAATGCTTGGCTTGTTTTTTTGTTTGGCTGCGCTTCAAACGAGCAGTAGCTTTCTCCCTTCCGCTGGCTCTTTTCGGTCTGAACTGTAGGGGTATTATTTATGAGAGGAGAGTTGTTTCATGTTTCTGTGGTTAATCATCCATCATTAAAAATTACGCATTGTATCACCGGTTTCATTCTGCATTTGGATTCAGTTTCAATCCAGACTGACAAAAAAGTGCTTGGGACGCATGCCGTGAGAAAATGTAAGAAACGGCAATGCGAGCTGAACGAGTGTGTTTTCTGTATTTGCTTTGTGAGGGAGCCGGGAGGCCGGGGGAGAGTGTGCGTGTCTGCTCGGATGCATTGATCGTGGCTTCACATAAACTCAGAGGAGTCCAGAGCTGCTTTCAATACATCTGCTGTCGCTGTGTGTTCCTCGCAGTCGAGTGTGTAGAGGAAGTGGAAGATATGTGTGATCCCTCCATATCTTGTGTGTCTGTTTGATAGTTTAATATTCTTAACATCATGCACCTAGTGGGATCGGGGGTGTTACTGAAACAGAAACATGTATCTGATGCTGATCAGCCTCAATAATTGTGAACGCGAGAACTGAGGTGGTTACAACGTGACAACACATTAAATGGTGTATTACCGGACATGATAGCATGACAGGAACCATATAGAGAGAGAGACGGGAATTAAATGTCATTATATACCCAGACTGTATATGAAGATCAACGATGCGTCTCCACTTCCCAAAAATATCCCGGCTTTGATTGCTGCCATCTTACACATTTGCAGCCAGAGATCCCGCTGACACACAATCCTGAGTCAGTCTCAGCTGCCAATCATGTCGTAAACACACAATATGTAACTTCGACCAGTAGGGGTCTCTTTCAATTAAAACGATAACAATAAACCTAATTTGATGACGTCATGAAGCAGCATTTTATTCACGTTATGCAGCAAATGAACATTTTGGATAATGTAACTACACAAGACAGCAAAATATACAAAAAGTGACTAATGAGACGCTTTAGCTTCACATCTGGGGGCAGTCACATCCTGCATCTTTATAGAAGCACATTACGCAGCCGGCCCTCTGTGCTGCTCCGTAACTTTGACTTTAATTCTGGAGGTCACCTCAGTCAGCTCCATCTCTGCTGCTGGCTCCAGTCGGAGGCCTTCACCTGACGCTGCCTCTCAGCAGGGCTCCACTTCTACCCTCTGCCCATAAACCTTTAACGGGCAAAATGCAAAACCGAGACCTAACCAGTGATTTGGGGCGGCTTGGGTCCACCTCAGAGACACATTAATTTACAGTGGCTCTCTCTCTGTGCTCCAGCAGGTAAAGGTGAGACCGACCTCTAACCCTGTTGGTAATTCTAGAGCGACGGCCTGAGCTCTGAACGCTGTCTGGCACCGGTAAAACTATCCTGCCACAAGAGATACACACCTCCGCTGTAACACGTATCAGTACGAGTTTCAATTAATCACCCTGAGGCTCACAGACATCAGGGTGTGTGTGTGTGTGTGTGAGAGAGAGAAGCTACAAATCAAGCCTGCATAGTTTGTGATGACAGCGACTGATCTTCTGAACTTTCCACCGTTTCCCAACTTCTGTTTGCAAAACTTCAGATGGTCAACAAATGACTGGTTGGATGCAATTTTTAACTTTTTGTATGGGATTGTGCGTTTTACCTGTGTGACCTTGTCGGTGACATTGTGCGTGCGGTCCTTGACTTTCGGGGCGATGATGGTTTTCTCGGAGGATGGCGGCGAGGGGCACTTCTTCTCGTTGTTGGCCTCGGAGAAGTTGAGCGTGATGAGCGGGATCTTGTTGATGGTGCTGTACTTGTTGAGGTTGGAATCGGAGGTGGAGCCGAGCAGGCTGGATTTGATCTGGCTCAGCGGGCCTGAAAGAGAAAGCGACAGCGGGGGGGTGTCTCTATTAAAAGTCGCAGTGTCTCGTGGCGTTGTTGGGCTATTGTGAATCTAACAGGCCCTGTGATTTGATCAGGGAACGATCTAGTACACGTGTGACATGGATCGTGAGAACGGAGCGGCCCTGATATTTGGAGCGAGTTCAAACACAACACTGAGGATACCACAGATGCTGAAATATGAACTCCACACCCTCTGATTGACCCGTCTAGGATGAACAGGCCTTTCAAAGTTTCTCATTAAAGGATAATGAAGAACATGGTTGGTGGATTCAATGCACAATCAAAGAAAGCAATTTCACACAGTTAGTCAAACCATCCATCCGTCTGACAAGTTTACAGCCTCATCCAATCTTACTCTCACACATTAACACACTACACATGAGGCCAGATGATAGTGATAAAAAGTGAAAAAGAGAAAATTGCTGATTCAGCCAGTGGAGGAAGGCCGCACAGTGCCCCCCCCCCCCATGTTCACAACAGTACAGTACGGTGATTGAGAGTCAAGGACAGAGAAACGGACAGCAGAGGATGAGGGATTGCATGCGCAGCTTCGACACATGCCACAGTGAAGAAAAATCATCGCAGTCGTAAAAATGAAATAGAATTTAAAAAAGGAAAACAAAAAAAAAAAGCTAAAGCCATACCGCCAGCCATCCAGGAGCGAGATACTAGCAGAGCAGGAGAGAGAAGAAATAGCAGGTGAAGGGAAAAGTGGATTTATGGAAGGGTGCTTGGATTGCAGGGTTAAAAACATTACTGGATTATTCCGTGTCAAGTCGTCACACTTTCAGGTTAAGTCGGACATCTTAATGAAATCTGACATGTTGATTTGATCATAGGAGAAACATGAACTTGTCTACGATCCTAATTAAGGGAGATATCGGCTAACGAGGATTAAACCTTTTCAGAGCTGCTGCTGCTACAGATCACTGGTCGCCTGTTCATGCAAAGTTTATTAATACCTTAACAATTAGATGAACAGTTCTCAACATATAAGAGACAGACAGACAGAGATTTGGAGAATTGTTAGATAAACGTCATCAAGAACTCAAGTTTGGTCATAATTTTAATATTGATGAATGACCTGTCAAAACCAAAATTCTAAAAAGTTAAAAATTCAAAGATATTTCCTATAATTTAAATCTGAGATTACTTGACACCGAATGACTTCAGTTATTACATTCATCAGGAGATAAAGCACTTCAGTTCCAGTTTCTTTGATTCTGATCACATTTAAACATGAGCGTGTCTCTAAATAAGACAGTGACCAGATTCAGTCTTGAGAGGATTCTTACAGTGAAATTGATGCAGCATAAAATACAGTTCCATCGCATTCAATGAGGGGAGAAAAGACGAGGGTGAGCAACACAGTCAGCTTTCTTTTCATTCTCTAAGTCATGGGGAGCAGAGGTTAGAGAGAGAGAACAGGTTACAGACAGTGGGAGTATCATTCAGAGAAGCTTCATTGATTTTCTTCAATGAGCAAAACCAGGAGAGAGATTTTAATGCGTCGCTTCATGCAAGCGCGTGCAGAGGTCAGTGTCTTTGATTCTACTGAGCCGTCCCCTGGGCGACGAGCGTGGACTCGGCAGCTCATGTGCACCGAGACTTAGCCATTTACTGCCGTGCCTGCGGTTTGAGGCTCCACACCGAGAACTTGCAGAAACACACTGTCAGTCATTTGCATTCAACACAAACCTCAGTCGTGTGGTTAAGTCATGCAGCAAGCAGGTTTTATGCAGCACATGTGTATTTATCTAAAACTACACAACCCCAGATGCAGCACGTTACCTTTTATGTTGCGGCCGTTGTCTGTTGCAGCGACACGGAGTTGGAGAGGGGAGAAAAAGGGGGGAGTGGGGGTGAGAGAGGGATTTCTGGTTTTATAATGACAAATGGGGGCTGGCGTTAAACCACCACCACTGTCCCCATGAACAATTCATTAGGCTGAAGTAGATATATTAGTGTGTCAGCCACCGGGAGCTATTTGAATGATGACTGCAGATAAGAGGATGGACTGATTGGCCTGGAGAACTCCGGGCTCGTCTGCTGGGGCGCCTCTACCCTGGAAGCAATGACGGGCCAAAAGGCTAATGAGCGATATAGATCAATAACATACGGTGTAGATGATGAATCACTATCAAACTGATTAAGAGACTGGCACATCTCGCATCTCCTATTTTTGGGATCACAGGGAGCATGGTTATTAATATAGTGAGTGTTTGTCATGAGGAATATATGAGAAAGCAAAATGTTTGAGGCAGTTGCTCCGGTTTTTTTCTGGAACTTTTCCTGACAGCTCTCGAGTAAAATGACCGGGAAATTTCCAAGGGAGCCAAAGTGAGAAGGCAAAGAGCGAATTTCAGTGAGATTTCTAACTCGTGACAGATGCAAACCTGGAGAAAAGAGAAGTAACGCAAACATGTAACGATGAAGAAGAGGTGTCGCACACGTAGAAGATGCAGATGAAGATGTCGACATGAAAAGACAAGATTCGAGAGCTTTTGGTGATAAGGGCCAACGAAGATGTTGAATTTTGAATTGTGTGTAAAACATTGATTTAATATTTAAAGCATTCATGAGAAAAGACATTGTCTAACATTAACCAACTGAAAAAAAGGAAATGTTGTGGTATTTGTTTTGTTAGCTTCACAGAAAACATCTGGGACAGAGGAGCTGGAGCTTCCTACCTTCACTGGCATGTCTGTCTCTGAACGCCATCTTGGAGTTGGCCCCAAAGCCTTCCATGTCATGCACGGATGAGGCTCTGCGAATACTGCACACACTCTCTCTGGAGGCGGTTGGCGTGAGGCCTGGAATTGACGGGGCAGCGATAAACGTGTCCTCCTGGCTCTGGTGTTGGTTCTGGGTGATGGCTCGGTCCTGGTACATCCTGTCCCAGGGGCCTTTGGGCGACGAGTGGTCCAAAGGCCCGGACACAGGGGTGGAGCAGTGGCTGGGGGCGATGAGAGCCCGGGTGTCATTCGCGTAAGTGGGGCTGCAGCTCTCGCGGGTGGTGGGGAGCTGGTAGTCGTGCGTTGCCACCGAGCCGTCGCTGTTGCGAGGGGAGTCCACCATGACGGCGTCGGGGTCTTCCTGGGGCAAGGACTGCTTGCTGATGCCCAGGAGAGGTAAGGCCGGGAAACGGAAGCGAAAGAATCTCCCTTTCCCTGATGGAGGAGAAGAGAAAAGTGTCACACTGAATCTATTATTGTCACATTAATCCATACTAATGCAACAGTTTATCCACTTAAGGGTGGAGCACCTTCGGGCAACGTCACATAAATTCGGAGGATTGTTAAATCACTCAATTATTGTTACATTTGCACCAGAACTTGCTTTCAGTCTTTCACGTCCCTGCTAATAAGTCATACTTGTTTGCCAATAGCACTGATAAGCCTAAATCTTAAAAAAGAAGACCACAAATTCCCACTCCGCCTCAGGCATTGGTTCAATTTCCTTCAATTATTCATAGAGGAGGACATCTGCTGAAATATTATAATGGCAGTGGTGCATTGAGGAGTCAGACTTATGAAAGATTATGTGCAGGATTTAATAAGTGATTGATGGCTCCTGGGAAGATGAAGGAGACAAAGTGATATTTACGATGCAGCTGTCCTCACAGTAAATAGTTGCCGGAAAAGGTGAAGAAATTAGTTATTTGCAACATGCGCACACATACGCATCGTTTGCAAACATGCACATTTAGTCGCATCTGAAAATATCTGCAAGCACATCATGTGAGAGTCTCTCACACTCACAGTATCTCACATATGGACGGCAAAGCATGGCCTGCATGTTGTGAATCATTTGGTTGCCTGAACATATGCTATACATATCAGAATGCATGTCTCACTCTCAGTCTCACTGCCAAACCAAGGGAGTTTAGTTTGGATTTTCAGCAAATTAAAGCACATTATGTTTTTGCATATTTGTGCAACTCCATGTCTGCAAAGAGCCGCTGATGTATTCAGAGACACAATAGGTGGTAAACCAGAGAACAGGATTAATGTTTAAGGCTCAGCGGGGAGCAGTGTGCATCTTTATCTTCCTTATTGTCGCTTCCACAAGGATGAGAATGAGAGAAAGTAATTTCCCACAAATTGCTCTGCGTCTGTTTGAGTCAGCGTAGAGTGTTTAAATAAAGTCTCTCGTCAGATGCTGATGATGCTGGAGAAGATAATTTGTGTTTAAGTGGTGATTCAGATTTGAAGATGCAGCTCAACTTGACTCAGCAGGAGGAAACCAGTCATAAATCTTATGGAATTACAGTTATACTGGTTTTCTTTTTTACACAGCAGACATTTTGACAGGTCATATTAGTGCAAAATGATAATGAACGTTGACGAAGCATCCATCCATCAATTATCTATGCTGTTTATCCTGTGAGGGTCAGGGGAGGAAGCTGGAGCCAGGTGCGAACCACTGCACAACCCAGTTTGGTTGTCACTCCACTCCCTTATGCACCACTGCTTGTCCATATATGTATTTATATCAATCGATCGTGCTCTGCAGCTTTTCACATTTCCGACATCTTGATTTAAATGCTGTTAAAATGCCACTTTAACAAAGTAATGAACGGCAGCTTGCGGGCATCGATGCACTCAGAACTCTGTGCAGAGACATAACCAGACATACAGTATAAACACATGCCATAAATCTCTTTTTAATTAACTCATAATTCAGCCACACGTTCACGGTGCTGAGAACACGGTAAGTAGCTTAATTTAATCGTGGTTTTGAAAGGACTGAGCCTTTAAATGCATGCGTGCGTGCACGTGTGCGTGTGTGTGTTTGTGTGTGTATTTTACATGCGTGCCTCTCCAACCCTCTCGTTCTTTCCCGGGAAAAACTCACCTGCAGCTTCATGCAACCAATGGGCGCTCAGTGGCCCCTGTTGCTACGATACCAGATAGCCATATTTGCATTGAATATTAATTGGGCCCTCAGATGCTTTTGTTAGGAGTGAAATGTCTCTCTGTACTGCGAGTGTGATTCAGATGTCAGGGGATGAGAACAATAGGCCTCCATCCTTTCTTGTCCTTTTGTCTGCGTATCTTATTCTTGTGCTTTTGCTTATTTTTTAATAATAAAAAAGCAACAATGCAGTAAATGTGCTAACTAACTGATTTGCATGTGGTGTTCTTTCTCCCTAAGGAGTGTTCACCTGTGCTTCCCGTTCTGTTACTCATCAGCGGTGGAGAATAACATGGAGAATTCCGCTGTTTCCCCACATTGCCCTGCACTCATTTATACCCAGAGAAAATTAAGTGTGATTAAAGTAAGATTGCAATAAGCCTGAGTAATGCAGTTTTCTTTTATGGAAAAATTTGTGGGCTGAGCAGAAACAACAGGGGAATAATGTGCCATAATTGTCCCTGACTGGAATCGAAATGGAGACAACAATGTTCTGCACCAGGCTGCATTCAAGACTTATGTTCAGTTCCCTTTGTCCTAAAACTTATGTACATATTTTACACCAAAGCTGCTATACTTGTTTTTTTAAACATTGGTGATTGCAGGTAAAGGAGTTGGCTTTTCAGTTTTTTCCCCTGTGACGTCATAAACATGCCGGAAACCAATGCACAGGAAAACATCCTTAAAAATAAAATAAAAAATTCTTAAGAAAAATAAATTAGTTTCCACAAGATGTATTAAACAATAAGTAGAGAAACACTCTTCACTTGGGAGTTTAATGTGCGTCATTACCATAGACTGTATATAAAGAGGGTCATTACAGCAGGCTGGTAAAGCAGCAGCGTCAGCGTCCAGACGGCCAAAATAAAGAAGATGTTGCACGTTCACCTGGAGTGTCGTATTTCTATCACTGCAGATCGGAGGCGATAAAAAACCTGCATCTGCTGCAGAGTCATTTAGGAGTAAATGCTGATTGTACCCAGACAAAAGCCAGTGGGTGCAGGGAATGATCAAAGCATTTGTAAGCTCCTTTTTTTCAAATACTAATAATTCCGGAATTTCATCAGACTGAAATTAAGCCATTTCAATCAGGTCAGGTGTAAACAGACGAATTGCTGCTTCGCTGATCTTTTCCAAAATCACATCTCGTGGTTGTCAAACATTCTGACTCACTGGGCTGACAACATGCGTATGTTGTTAGTATGAGGCATTTTCTGACCCTTACTTTCCTCCTGATCAGAGCTTCACTGTTTGATGCTTACAGAGGCTTTTACATAGCAACAATAATAATTAGCAACATCCCAATCAAGTGTTTCAGGCTCTGAACCATTAAATTTGGCCCAATTACGTCCTCGTTCAAAAGGTTGGATAATTTCTAGCATGTTCCACGTTGCACAAGGAAAGGAAAAGCGAGAATGTTATAGACAGAGACACAGAAAGGGATTATCTTATTTCTTAACCAATACAAATCAACTGTATTAGAATATATAATGCTAATGACATCCCTAATCATAAAATAAATAAATCACCATAAATATCCTGATGTTTCCCTGAAATCAGTAAAAGCATTCCACACTTCTCTCCCTGTCGAACCATTAGTCTGGAGGCTATAGCCGAGGCCCATAAATTAGAAGCCTGCAAAAATGGCCCAGTGACATCGGAGCGAAATGAGAGAATCCTCGCTGGTTTCAGAATGGATGAATCGTCCTTAAGGAAGAAAAGCAATCGATAATGCATAGCTGCTCATTCCCCGGAAGGAGCGGCGGTAATGCAACACATGGATCATCAAATGGCTCCGTGCACAGGCAGCTGCTCCTGAGAATAGAAACACTGCGCCGTAGGTTTCACTGAGTTGCATCTGCAGCAGCTTCGCCCTCTGTGACGTTCTCTAAAGTCTAGAGAGGGAGAGGGATGGTGTCCAGCAATTTGTAAACAAACCAATTTGTAAACAAACCTGGATCTCACCTGTAAATTTGCAGGGAATCCCACGTCAATATGGTGATGGGCATAAATGAGCTTTAATTCATAGAGAACTGCTCCATCAGGGGATTGCCCTTAATGCTACGGCGGAGCAAATCCCTTGGAGGAGTGTATACAGTAGAGTCTTGAGTTGGATGTGCAAAAAAACACACACATAAAATACCCACTTAAACACTCAACACACACATCTCCAAACTCTTTTAACCACACACCCCATGAGGCAACAGCCTGTTCAGAGACTCATCCAATTACAGCAATCGAGAGTTGACCTCTGCTCCCGCTTTATATGTCACAGACGGAAAATGGAGAAAGACGGAGACAATGAAGAGGGAGGAAGGATCAAGAGCATGTTCAAGAGCACCGCTGGGGAATAGCATTATACACTATTACGCCGACAGCTCTGGGAAGCGGAGGGCTCCACAGCACTGCTCCAGTAGTTCATCAGGCCATCCTGGCATCCTATGAGCTATAATTGGGCCAGACCTCTGAGATGACGGCAGGCTAACACATCAGCGCTCCTAAACGCTGGTGTCAACATGCCAAAGGAGCTGTCTGGCAGGAAATTCCTGCAGCTGCATGCCAGAATACTGTCCCAAGGTTTACGCATCCTGCTCAAGAAGCAAGATGCCAAAGAAATAATCAATTAAAGCAGATGGGATGGCATGACACAATTAATAGTGGGGTCTTGCCAAATCCTCAACATACACTTTGAAGAAACAAACAATGATAATATGGAAAAAGGTCAGCTGTAGAAGGTCATGCCTGCAACATGTGACATGTGCTCTTTCTTCAGCTCGAGTACACGCAATCATATGAGGATGCATTGTATGTGCACGTTTGTTGCACGACACCGACACAGTGGGGAATTGGGAAAATGTGACATTCTTCTGCACCACATTTCATTCTCTAGAGCCCGTTTTGTCCTTTACTCACGTTGCTCAGCTTTGGACGGTGAGGTGTGGTTGAGTCTCTCCAGCGAGTCGCTGCTGCCCTCGTCCAGGATGTAATCGAAGTTGAGGATAAACATCATGACCACGCCCTCCTCGTTCTTCACCGGGATGATGTGGGTGGCGCAGAGGAAGTTTGAACCTAACCAGGAGGAAATGTAATTCACGGTTAGAAACAGTTGATACACTTTATGTTTTGGTGGAAAGTGACTGTGGTATAGAAATAAAATCCAGAAATTACAAGCCCCATCAATCGTGGAGGCGCCTGATTAAAAACTTTTCTGAGCCAAACAAAACGCTAAAATCTGATCCAAGCTTCAAAGTGACATCACTGCTTCAAGCGAGGACGCAAATAAAACATTCACCTCTTGTTCCGAAGCAAATCCATTACTGTGGTGAACTTTGACCCCCGATATGAGCGTATAATTCATTATAATCTTAACTTCTTTTTCCTGAGTTTTTGCACTGGCAATGGCAAACTTGAGAATAAGCACCGTGATTTTCTATTTCAGTACAACTGTGATGTGACCTCCTCCAGCTTGACATGTCATCCTGTCGGAACAGTCCACAGTCTCTCACCCTGCTTTACAGACATCCACACGTGGAAATAAACTCACAACATAAAGTCATCATTTGCGTAAAAGACACTAAATTAGCCATGAATATTTCTCACTCATTATTTCCTCCATGAACTTTCTCAGCCTTGTGGTGGAAGAAGAATGAATTGCTCTCAAATCTTAATAGTTAGAGCTGCTGAGGCAAATTTAACACGATCCTGCTCTCTGCTAATGCCTCGTGACTAAAATGTTTCTAATTCATCAACAACAGAGATGAGGTTGACAGAGAAGTGACGGAGGAGTTGCACTGTTATATTTTAATGGTAAAAGCGCACAAATCTATTCACAGTACAGGACACATTCATCTATTCACACATTCATACACACTGTCGGCACAGCATCCAGGGGCTTTGGGGTTCGTTAGGATATTTGCAGACTGGCGATCGACCCACTGGCCTCTGTTAAGTGGACAACCCACTCTAGCTCCTGAGCCACAGCCGCCTGTGTTAGCTACAAATAAAAATTATAGAGAAACGACAAAAAAGCTTTTTACATGTGATTATAGAGTTATTGCTATAACCAGGTTTATTAATGTAGAAAATGAAACGCATATGAAGTTTTAAACAATGAACATGGACATCTCTGGAAGATGCTCTCCCTCACATTAGGCTCTAAGTCCTGCTGTCACCAGGAGGCTATTTATAGTTCACCCAGCAGGCACCCAGCCTCCAGCGTTTCTTTTCTGGGAGTCACAGACACGCTGCTGCATAAACACCCGCATCCCTGATTCCACTCACTAAATGTGTATGCGACACACAAAATAATAAAAACTGTATATTTCTAGTGTGGTAGTTTTCATGTTTTATATCATCAGACTTGTAAAAATCCTATTATTTTGTGCAGCAACATGACAAACCGACTGCTTCACCATTCAACACAACAGGGTTTGATTTATGCATCAGGGAGCTGAATTCCACTGGGCTGAGCAGTACGCTGCCCCTAATAGTACATCAGTGTCACCGTAAGTGGACGGGGCCATTCATTTCAGTCCGAGGGAGCTTGGTGGCAGTGCGCAAGCAGCATCACACCTCCTCCGTCTTCAGTGACAATATGCAAAAGATGACCAGTGGAGGGGGCCTCTGCTTTCGTGCTTTACAGGAACTATCAGAGTGGACGGCAGCCGGAGAGGGGAGGGGGGGGGCACACACAGCACAAACAGTACAGGGGCTTGAATATAAGGATTTAAAAGAAAAGGAAAAATAAAATAAAAATTGCTTTCAATGGCTGGGAAGAAAAATTGTACTTATTTAAAATTTCTTGCATTTCACTAAAAGTCCTTGACAGGATTTTAATGTGCTGCATTAAAGCAACGCTGTAAAAAATACAAATAAAACACAAAATGTGTCTGTCTCCATGGAAACAAGTGAGCGCTCCGGAGAGGAGCACACTGGCTGAGCCGAGTCAGATATTACATTCATTTGTCTCCGGTACAAACACCGTCCTCAAATGAAATGAGATCATCTTTATTCCCCTGCAGATAATCCGCAGATGTGTTTATGGAAAACTCCGACAAAGTGGGCACAATAGTTCTGGTTTGTTAAGTTTAAATACTCAGATACAAAATAATACAACAAATTTGAATGTATCCTGCATAATTCAACAGCATCAGGGGCCTGTAGTGATTCTCGCAGGTACAGCACACACACAGAAACAAAACAGCCTGAGCTAAGAAGAGGCTGAATTCTTCATCATGTCCAACACACACATATGCCACAGTGTGTTCAGTGTAACCTTTGCATGCCTCAGGGGGGACCTCAGCCCAGCTTTGTAAAGTAATCAGTGGGTGTGTGTGCACTTGTGCACGTGAAACATGCAAGTGTGCGCTCTATAAATAAGCCACTCGGAATCCATAGGCATTTATAATTCATAGGAGCTAAGTATTCAGTTCTAGAAAGCATAATGGTCTGACTTGTTTGGGCAACACAAGAATGAGAGGAGGCTCGATGGTGCTCTGTGTGTTTGTGTGTGTGTGTGTGTGTGAGAAGGACGGACAGGGATGTGTACTCAGGCAGCTTGAAATGGATACGAATGAGAAATGCATTCCTAAAATAAGCTAATAAAAAGTACCATCTTTTGTTCATCATAAAGTTAATCAATGTTTTGTTCGTGCACACGCTGTTTTTCACATGTCACGTGTTTTTACTTTGCATCAGTTGCTAAAATCCTGTAAATCCCATGCAAATACATTTAAATTTGAAATGGAGAGAGGAAGGTCACGCGAGCCTCAACCACATGTGGGGCCATGTGAGCTTGTTTACATCACACAGGAGGGTCACAGAGGGATGTATGTAGGTTTTAAATATAGACATGACACCAGACCAAGTGGCAGCTTGTGTGTGTGTGTGAAAGTGCGTCAGTCTGAGTGAGTTTTAAACGCTGTCATTCAAACACAACAATGAAATCATCATGTACACACAAGTGTAATGAGGTGCAGCCTAATGAAACTTATTCAAAGTCAAATCAGTGTGATAACGTGATTTATTTCCGATTTCCCCTCCTTTCCCCTCCATTTCCCATGATCCCTTACTTCTTTTCACTCACTAACGGCCTTCATCACTCTCTTTCTTTCTCTCCATGTACTTGTCTGTCCACCCCTCTCTTCCTCCTTCAATCCACACTTCAGTTCTCATTTGTTTTCTTTCTCTGTTGCCATCTTTCTCACTGTATCCATGGCTCTCCATGCAGCCCCCTCTCTCTCTCTTTCTCTCACTCTCCCTGTAGCCCTCTCTCTCTCTCTCTCTCTCTCTCTCCCAGGTTTTCTGCAGAAAGGCCAACGGACGAGTTGTAAGTGGACAGATCAAACAGATCCCCGGTGCTGCTGCTGCCACTCATGCTAATTTCTGCATATCCCACCCCAGCAGAGGGTCAAAGACACGCAAACACACACACACACGCAAACACACACACACACAGGCTGCCGGCAGCATTAATTAGCAGAATGTTCTCTGTCCAACTCAATCTGATAAGAAGGCGACGGAGCTGGGGCACCCGCTGCAGTGTAATGAGTGAATGCACCTTTCAAAGGGACTAAAACAACTTTAGTCTCTGACCTGAATTTATATGTAGAGCTGTAGAGCAAAACTGAGTTAATGTGATACATCAGGTGCCATCTCGGCTTCTTCAGAAATACAAATGACCTCTTCTGTTTTTAGAAAAAGCAGCGTGACTCAGTGCTCACCTTCTACAGTCAAACAGAAAAAAAGAGGCTTTTTTTAGTCTCTAATCCTCCGAGGACGGCAGATGGAAAGTGCTGACTTGCGTTTCATAAAAGAGGCGAAGAATCTCAAACTTTGGCAAGGTGAAAGTGAGGACATAAACACAGAACTGTCAAACAGCCACATAAACATCACAAGAACCTTGGGCAAAAGCAGTTAATCCTGTTTTTTATATATATATATTTATATATATATATATATATATAAATACACTCCCAGTTTGTCGAAGTCAAAGCCTTGAGCCTGAGTTGATATGTGGGTTTTATTGATTTAAACATTTCCCACTCTGCTTCGTTTCCTAACTGCCTACCTGGATTAATGGGGCTACCTGGTAATCTGTTGCCACACAGATGGCTCGGCAGGATGACAGCTACCAGGTGGATACACGGCATAAGCCAAATTGCATGCTGAGTATGTGTGTGTGTTTCTGTGGGGGTGAGGGTGGTGCTTTAATGTTTTCAGACCAAAGCTGCTTTTGAACACAGGACTACTCTGGTACTGTGGGGATTCAGCTTTAACTTTGATAAAAAGATTAAAACAGGCAGGTCTTCATACACAATGTCACCTCTTTGCTGGTTGGACCATATGTCTGCAATAAACTGCTGCCATGACTGGGCCACCTGAGGATGTTAGTCATGGATGTAAACACAGTTACACATGCAGACAGATGGAGACGTGCATCGACACTGGTACAGATGCGCCTGGCGTCCACATTACTCAGAGAAATGGAGAGATTTAAAAATGCTTTTGTCCCCATTTTCGTTTGAAAACTCTGCATTTTTTTTTTGGACGTGCAGAAACGGACATGTTGGAGGCGATAACCGGCATCCAGTGTAGAATGCAACATGCATAATCCGCAATTGACACTGTTGTCTGTTGTGCAGTTATATTCAGATGTGGAGCCAAAATGCTTGTGTGGACAATTGAAAACAGTTGCATGTATTGTACTCTGAGTTTCTTAATCATGGCAATGTTTTCTGCAGATTTGACCTTGAGGTTTTGGACGGACAGTGACACTGACGGATCAACTGACCAACTCCGTCTGTCCTCATTTAACAGAGCAGACCCAAACACACCATGAATGCCTCCGTGTTCACCTCACTTGACTCACCCGGCCTCCTCTCCTATTATTTCCTTCAACTTATATTAAACAGTCCATCAGGGTTGTGTCATTTTAAGCTTGAGAGCTCAGCGCTGCTCTGTGGCAAAGGTGATTTATTCCCCATTTTATTCTTAGTCTCATTTCATTTCACTCCACTGAATTAATCATGAGGCAGTGATGGCTTTGTTTGTTGAGATGAGAAACACTC